TATGTGTGTGCGTATCTACCATGTCAAATTTCAGACAAATGAGTCGATACATATTGTGTTTGTTAACACTAAAGTGAACTATTGTAACTTTTCACAAAATAAAGCCACTTTGATCTAAAATTAACCAAGAAATTATAGAAAAGAAACATATAAATATACAAAATGTTGCACAACAATGTTAGAGGGACAATCAATTCAAGTTAAATATCTTCGTATCACGTCACTATAAGATTGATATTCCATTTTCGGAGTGTGGTAAGCCAGTTAAATATTGAGTGATCCAACATTGATTTTTTGGCATGATAGGCCAACAAAACTGTTACAAATTTTACAAATAATCTAAATTACGGCTTGATATGTACTATACTCTCTTTTAGATGGAACGTTACATTATCCTCCTGACTTTGATGACAGTTTTGCTCGTCGTAAACAGAGACGAAACAGGACTACTTTTACTTTACAACAGGTAGGTAGTCTGTTCATTAACGCGTGCATTTGGCATATCGAATTGAGTTTGATATCGAGTCAAATTCAAATGTTGATCTCCCGAGTATTTACTGAGCTTGTGTGAGGCAAATTATCATTGCTAGCGATAGAATAATGGATGGAAAATTGTTTCAAGTTTACAAAAGCAAATTTTGATATTTTCTTTGACGCGTGTTTCTTAAAAGATTGGCCGGCGACTGTTAAAGGGCGGTGGTCGTCGCGCAGCACGTATTCGAATTTCATGTAAACCAACAATGTATTTTACACGCGTTGTATACGTCCTTTAATGTTCCGTAACGGCATTAACAAATAATAATAAAAGCGTAGAGAAAATGACATATAATATTTAATCCGATGAGAATCTCCGTAAACACATATTTGTTGTACACATTCTTTCAATAACTTTAGCTGGAAGAACTTGAAAACGCTTTTGCAAAGACTCACTATCCCGATGTGTTTACTCGAGAAGACTTAGCGATGAAGATCAACCTCACTGAGGCGAGAGTCCAGGTAGGTCGCGGATTGATTATCTGAATATTCTGTTATGATGTCCGTAAGTTATTTGATATGTTAATAAGATCCTTATCTGACTAAGAAAAATTGAGGTCATGTAGTATTGCAAATAATCTTTCCACAGACACGTATAACGACCCATGTCACATGTGGATGAGGTTCAGATTAAAATCCTACGGGTTTGAACTTTGATGAAAGGTAGCCTTAGTGCACCCTGGTTTATTATGCCATACAGCCTGAGTCGAGGCAACATATATTTAAAATAAAAAAGGAAAAAAAAAAATCTCAAGAGATGAACACAGGACAGTTGACTTCATGTTCTCTCAGTCCTTGTCCTTGTCGTGTTTATTGCCACCATGCGGCAACCATATACCAATAATTGCACCAAGACCGTAGTATTATAATGCGTGACAATTGAACGCTGCTTGTATTGACAGTACATTAGTATAAATTATTTCGGTATTGAAAAAGCGTATGTCGATATAAAGTGCCACTTGTGTTTTAATTTATATGTCTGTGTGTAGATATCATCGGGTGGCAATATATTCTAGTCCAACTAGTGTCATAGTGCCTGATTTTATACATTAAATTGGCGAATACATATGTTTTGAATACATAAAATATACACTCAAAATATAAAATATATATTTTTTGAGTTTTAATATAACACCTATAAAAAATTGCACGGCAAGGCCTCTCACTTTGCTGATGTGCCGACAACATTAAGCAACTCGGTTTGATATCTGGCTGAAAGCAAGTCGCCCATGCAGGACGATGGCAAGCAGGCAAAGGGCCAAATAAAATAGCATAGCTCATTTCCAACAACACGTCATTTCCGTGTATCCCATCATGCTTCACTATATATAAAAGTGATGTTTTAGAAACAGCAACATAGTTTCATGTTATAAATTGGTGATATTTTCACAATATGCCTGCCTTGTATTTGTGTGAACAAAACGCACTGTTGATTAGTGCGAATAACTGCTGTTGTTCTAAGATTATGCGTTATATTTGTTACGCTCAAAATAAGAACGCCGAGATGTTCGTTTTGTCTTTAGTTGCTGAATTCTAATGAGACATTGGCTTTATTATTATTTTACGAGGCAGTGTTTTCGAAGTCTATATTCCCCACAAAGCTAAAGGATTCTGCCGGCTCTGATACTGCTTAATCCGATCCAACAATCAAAGCTCGCGAGAGTTAATAATCTTGTCTGGGACGTGGTTAATACGTTGGGTGGATTTTTGGTATGCAAATTACATTCCCATGGCGATAAGCGAGTATTTGATGATATCTAATCAACCAGGGGCGATAACGTGGTACTACAGTTGCATAGGTTGCGATATTTTCACAGCTAATCGAGGGGTACATAACATATACATATTTTCGGATGAGAAGAATCTGTAACACAGCCCTGTGGTTGTTAATTTGTCATTTTTACAGACATGCTATGATTTTTTAATATATTTTCCGCTATGTGCTATTTATATATGGGAATAATTTCACATTTGTTAGGGCCAGAAACTTATGCCGTTGCCATAAGTTAATTTAACAAAGAGGTGATGATACGGAACCGATTTGAAACAAATCACGGCGCAGTTAAGGGGTCGGGAGAACCGCCTGTCACAGGTGCAACAGTTACCGTATTGTAATTGGGTTTGTGTAATGAAATAAAACTAGTAGTCGTCTGAGATTAACTCACTCAGTGAGTTGTAACCGTGTCTCCATATCAACAAGCATCTACCTCCACGCTTTTGATGACTTCATCAAATTTTGAGTACCCATCATCTGGGTAGTAGATCTTTATCGCAGAGATAGCCAAATCCAATTGACTGCATGGCGGATTTTTGTCTAATCCCCTCTGACGTCATCAATATGCAAATTATCTCCCGATAGAAAAATGAGCTTGCTCGCTCTATCTCAGCGTTTCTACAACTGTTTGTTTTCAATATTTCTGTGATAATTTTTTCTGTGGAGTGTACGTAATGTGCTTCAGTCAATCGCTTCCACACAGAGAATCGCATTTTTCAAGATTTCGTTTTAATTAATTAATTAATTAATTAATCAATCAATTTGTTGTTGTTTTTTTAGTTGTTCGCAATTAAATAAGCTGTTCGAATATTGTTTGGCTGTTAAAATATCGATAGTTATGAAAACTAATTAACGTAATACTTGGTTGAAATAACAATAAGTCGACAAAAAGACTGAATATTCAGAAACACCCGTGAAAAAATAAATTTAAGGTCTAACGAAGTGGTCTTAAAATTAAGCTCCAGTAAAAGGCAAAGCGTGTAATTCTCTTCATACACTAATACAGCCTCTTAAGCAGGAACTGAGCGCGTAATCTAGTGCCATGGGTAGTATTTAGTAATCATATGACACGTTCCTAGACAAGATCCTGCCAGGGTGTTTCATATAACGAAGTGATCACGAGACCGACATGTGATTATATATACACAAACATTTTCTTTAATGATATGATAATTAAGAAAATCTTAAATTGTATTATCTTTAGTTAATTAAATATTGATTGTTATCACATTTGGCACTTAGGTTTTCCATTTAGACGGGATTTTGTCTGATTAATTATTGAAACCTCTACATGTTTTCAGTTTGCCCGATGTAAAAGACGAAATTGATGGGTTTTTTTCCGGAGAAATCATTAAAAGGCTTCATTGTATTCATGTATTTATTTATTTTACGGCTGTGGAGCGGCACTGCTGGGAAAACTGTTAGGATAGACGCACGATGTGTCAAGCACGCGCTCGATACTCTGCCAGGGGGAATTCGTAGTGTACATTTCTATTAATGGCACAAATTTAATTTGGTGTGAAATTTGTATTATGTTTTGTCCCAATCATTGATCACAATACGTGTATAAAAAGTTGACAGGCTGTTATTTAACTGAGTCGTCATATATCAGTTGTATGTCAATGACGCTCCTTTGAAATAGGTGTTCTTTCTGTGAGTCCGTCAACTTGTTTTTCTAGGATTTCACATGGACGTCGGGATAGTTATATAAAATCTCCAATCAAACTGTTCAGGTCTCTTTCGTGTTGTTTCTCGATCTAGAAATCTTCCGGTCCGGTCCGGTTATGTCAGGTTAGGTCTTGCCAGGTCAGATCAGGTCAATCTCGTCCTGTCGGTGTTGTGTGTTTAAATCAGCTGATAGTGAAAGCGCTTTTCATCATTACAGAGATGACTATGTAATGATGCCATCACGATTTTAATATTAATATTAAATAGATTTAATAAATGAATGTCTTCCTATTTACCACGCATGTGTTTCTGTCAGATCTGTTCATTTCATAACAATATCTGTAGTGTTATATACGTTTTCATGTTTCGTCAATATTTTTATGATTATAATATTTTAACTTTTTTCAATCCGTAATTCAAAAAATGCTTTCAAATTCACAGTGATCCGTGTTCGTATTGCTTTGTCTCGGAATCAACAGGGCTATATTTTGTAACATGCTGATTGTTTCCACTTTCACGTTTAAGGTGTGGTTTCAAAACCGCCGGGCAAAGTGGCGGAAAATGGAGAGAATGAAGCACGACCACACTAAAGGTACAAAACAGCAAACTAACCAGGATAAGATAGATACTCAAGAAGAGTCAACTGAAAATATTAATGGTATTGATAACCCAAGTGAGCCTGTTAGCCCCGAGTCGCCTTCTACTAGCTGTATATCTGTCTGTAGTCCAACACCTCCCCCAGTTTCGCCACAACCACCTGTGAGCTCGCCTGTAGTACTGACTAGTCCTCCGAGATCACCATTGCCTACCACTGAACATGTGTCTGAAGTAAGGTGAGTCCCCCGAGTTGACACTGCAGTCGAAGACTTACAGCTCCTATATACAGCGGTCACTTAAGGAGTTGATCTTGCAGTGGACCTTCTTTTCAAGACGAAATTTCACAATAAGTTAAAGAGCCTCTTGATATCATATACACAATTCAAGACTTATAATAATATACTATTATGTGACCAGTGATGAGCATATTTGCATATTCGCAAATTCGCAACATCTAGATTTGTTTTCGAACTTAAAATATATGTAATATTTTAATATTGTATGTTCTATGTTTATGACATTTAATGTTTCACGTGATACAATACATTGTATACACACAGACATATAAATTAAAATACATTGATTGTATCTTGCAGTTCAAGTTTTCGACCGGCACAACCTCTTTTTACCAGCCCTCCGCCTCCATTGCACACTATTTCTGTGCCTTCATTGCTCTCACAGACGCCGTCCTCATTCACAGGTAGGAGAATATCCATAACTTACCGGAACACTCATCTGTTTTGAATGTGACGTCACAAACCGGTTTCTGTTGTACGTCATATTACTTTGTTCGATTACGTCATAAATTATAGGCTCGATCGACATTCGTTAACGACACGAATTTGTCATCTTCTCATTTATACCAAAAAATATTGCTCCAAGTGACAAAAACCTTCCAAATTTGGCGGTATTTTAAAACTGATATTTACCTGTCAAGTTGTGAAATAAGAAAAAATTCTCGTTGCGACTTTTCAATGATTGCATCAGAGTTTCCTACGAACAAGGATGAACAAAAATTGCGAATTATATGACAGACTTGGACGGAAATGCCACAAGACATCGAAAACTGCGAATTGCCCATTAGTGTCAGGGAAATACTTGATGGTCATACTTCTAAAGACGATTCCGTAGCGTGAAGCTATATTTGATTATTACTATATTATGTGTCAACTCGCACCACAGCGTATGTGCGTGTCTATAAATGATGAGAATGGTTGTTTTGACATTAACCCGAGGCTGGAGTAGAGGTTTTGGCGTTTTGGGACCTGTCAGTGACGTGACTGAAGAACATTTGCATAATTATTCATGTATGTACCAGCGAAGTTGAATCAGTGTAATTACAACATTTACAATACGTAAATATAGGAGTCCCTCTATTGATGATCCATCTTTATGATCGTCCAGTTCTCGTAATATTTACTAAACTTTTTAAATTTTATGTGACGGTAGATAAGGAATTTGTTGTTTTCCATTTCTTGGGGAGTTTCGCTGCTAGAGGCATTGGCTATCGAATGCACAGTGTCCGATAAAAATGGTCTTATCTGTTGGGACAGTTTCTTTTTATCATAACAAATTAAATATTCAACACCAGTTGATGTCTGTCGACAGATGACCGCTCCAGGTAAAAACTGGGGCCGCTTTAAGAAGAAAAAGCATATTATTCAGAATTGTAGCATTATTTTGTATATATAAAGTTTAAAAGCTCAATAACTGTAACTTGCTTGGTCATCTGCCGTCTGAAAGAAATAACCGACATAGTGTCCTCGTACTCAAGACACTGCTTGAGTGCCTGAATTAACTTCACTTTCTCTTTCCGGTTGCAATTGTCACGTGTTCTATTGACAACGTCATGAAATAAAAGTATAATCGCCCAGTATTTTGTTTCATTCTAGGCGCCCGTGTAAAGCAGTGTTTTATTCAGGACTGTACGTGTTCATCGGTGACCACATCGTCACCATCAGCTGCTCCGCCGGTAACATTTCTAGACAACGAGCAGCGGAATTCTAGCGTCGCTAAACTACGAATGAAGGCCAAACAGCACACGGAGAAAATTCTACAAAGCGCTAAATTTTACCAAACATCACTCTCAACCGTGACGTCACATCCGTCCGGCGTTGTCGGCTCACTATGAGCTGCGATGTACGTCACAGTAGAACACTGTTTTATTTCATGACAGTACACATCTTTTCCAACATGCACTGTAATATAAAAGTTAGCGTTATAGCTGACGTGATTCAATGAGTTGATTCGAGTTTCTGTATTTGTAATTCAAATTAATAAGCAAAACAAACGAGAAATACACAATTTTGTTAACGTGGTTCAGTACTGTTAAATAAGTGTAATTTTTAATGATAATTTTAATTGTGCACGATGTAAGCGGAAGTTCACAGCGTAGCAAGGGTACGTGGTCTGACTGGACGAAGATACAATTCATTTACAATTTACATAGCATTAGACAACTCATAAATGTATGCTAGCATGACGTCATGATGGTACCCTATAGCTTTGTCGTAGTTTGGAACCTTTAGAAACTTTACAGTTAAATAACCAAGCTTATCATCTACGGTCATCTAAGGTGTCTTATTATCACGCGGTACTTTCGCTAACGTAGTTTACTCATACATGTTTTGGTTTTAATTAAAAGCAGAAAAAAATAACACTATACCAAATGAGTGAATTTAAAAAACCTAATGAATGAGCACAAAACTGAAAATTACGCATTTTAGTCACCATGCCCATCTTAAAAACGTCATGAACCAACCCTAGCAACTTGCTTAAGAAATTAGTGTAGCAACGGATAATGTTGCTTGCAGTAACCATGGTGGCGCTGATGTTTATGTAAAATGAAATGCGGGTTGGGGTCCTCGTCCAGTCAGATAACGTTTTCACATTCTGTGGCGTGGCCTTGCCTCTAAATGGTGCGCTCTATGCTACTTTCAATACTTGTAAACAGCACTATGTAACCGTTTATCCCACGATAACACCACTCCATCGTTAGGGACAACATAAACTGGCGGAGCATTTAAAGTCAACAAATATCAATACTTTATTTTTAAAATTTGTCAAGACGATTTCATTGCTTGAACCAAAATACTGCTTCTATCACAAAAACTTCGAAATGCATTGTGGTCCTGCCAATAACACGTGATGTAAAACTTCTCCTTTAATCCAACGTTATGGTAACTGGGGGAAAAGAAAAAAAAAAGTCCCGACAATTGAAAATTAAAAAAAATAAAACGTTAATGAACAAATTGCAAAATTTACGACTAGTTTGCTTATACTCTTCATTTGTGATGTCAATATGTCTCAGATTTGTTTAATTTCGTGATTCTGTACTGTAGACCGCCTGTTTCAAGGATCTACTGACGTTCGTATTGTCCGATTTGGACAAGCGTCGTATTCTCGGGGCGAACATCCGGGTATTTTCCCAGTCTGGCAACCTCAATTGAGGAAAACAACGGCAGATTACCTCAATGTTGAGTTTGTGCTGTTTCCTCGACTTTAACTTCTTTCACCGGCTCTTTGACCGGCGTTCCATATTAGCATGCACATAGCCCATAGAAATACACCACAGTGGTGCACATCTGTGATGAAGCCCCGCCTACAAGATCATGTGTTTTATGGGACGCATTAAAGTTTTCTCCATTTTAATATTGTTTCCTTGCTCACAACGGAGAAACGAACACTTATATGGTAAAATGAAATTCACAGTCTTTAATCTATTGTATCAATTTCGAATAAATAAACTCGTATGAAGTGAAACAAGTGACTATTGTTCTCTCTAAGTGGTAGTCTATGGCGAAGTATTTTGCTAGTACATGTACTTTGTTGATATTTTGCAAGATGCCACGCCATACTAAACATGCCATAGGCATTGTTAGACAAACCAGCATATACCAAGCCATACTGCAGTTACCATAGACCGTGTTAAAAAAACCAGCATATACCAAGCCATATTGCAGTTACCATAGACCGTGTTAAAAAACCCAGCATATACCAAGCCATACTGCAGTTACCATAGACCGTGTTAAAAAACCCAGCATATACCAAGCCATACTGCAGTTACCATAGACCGTGTTAAAAAACCCAGCATATACCAAGCCATACTGCAGTTACCATAGACCGTGTTAAAAAAACCAGCATATACCATGCCATACTACAGTTACGATAGACCGTGTTAAAAAAACAGCATATACCAAGCCATACTGCAGTTACGATAGACCGTGTTAAAAAAACCAGCATATACCAAGCCATACTGCAGTTACCATAGACCGTTTTAAACAAACCAGCATATACCATGCCATACTACAGTTACCATAGACCGTTTTAAACAAACCAGCATATACCATGCCATACTACAGTTACGATAGACCGTGTTAAACAAACAAGCATATACCATGCCATACTACAGTTACCATAGACCGTTTTAAACAAACCAGCATATACCATGCCATACTGCAGTTACCATAGACCGTGTTAAAAAAACAGCATATACCAAGCCATACTGCAGTTACGATAGACCGTGTAAAAAATGAT